TAGAGATCATAAGAATTACAGAACACATTATTTATGGCAATAAGATACCAAATTATAAAGAGGATCTATGACTGGGCGTGGGGTTAAGTCTTCACCGCAATGTAAATAGAGTCATGTGTTACATGCATGTTTGTTCAATATATCTGTGTCAGGCAGGCCACTGCCATCAATATTCATAGCTCCCCTATTCAACTAGGAGACTTAATCTTATTAAAAACTTGGAAAGAAGGCTGGGTACAGTGGCTTACGCCTGTAATCCTAGCACTTTGGGAGGCTGAGGTGGGTGGATCACCTGAGGTCAGGAGTTCAAGACCAGCCTGGCCAACATGGCAAAACCCCATCTCTACTAAAAATACAAAAATTAGCCAGGTGTGATGGTGAGTGCCTGTAATCCCAGCTACTTGGGAGGCTGAGGCAGGAGAATCACTTGCACTGGGAGATGGAGGTGGCAGTGAAATGAGATCATGCCACTGCACTCCAGCCTGGGCGACAGAGGAAGACTCTGTCAAAACAAAAACAAAAACAAAAACACCTTGGAAAGGAGGATCACCCCAAAATCAATTGCAACCAAAATGAAGGGGCCCTTTCTGGGGAGTATTGTTAAGCTCAGCACCCCCACTGCTGTAGAGCTTTGGGATCTCACTAGCTGAGTATGCCTGGTCCAAGATTAAACCCGTTTTTTACGAGTCCCCACAGGCACCTGAGAAAGACACCACAACCTACACTTGTGAACCCCTAGAAGACCTAAAGCTGTTGTTTTGCAAAGAAAGAGATAAGTAACATCTTCAGTCCCTCCTACAGGTACTCAACCTTCTTAACAACTCCCCTCCCATACAGGTTTGCACCCCCAACGGATACCTGTGGCTATGTGGTCACCCATTCAACCAGCCTATAAATAACTTGTCTCTCATTTGGGATCACGGAACCCATGGATACCAGTGTATTGATAATGTTTGGTTCGGGGGTCAATGTGTAATAGGACCAGCAAAGCTCTTTAATATATAATTACATAACATCACTTACCTGAGAGCTAAGCAGGCAATTGGCCTTATATTGGCTGGGGCTGGGGCTGCCAATGGCTTATTGGCCCTACGGGGAAAATTTGCGTATTCCAAGGCAACTCTTCAAAACTTTACTTCATTTTACAGACTGTCTTATAAAATGGGGGAGGCTTTAGATACATCAAAACTCTTCCTTGATTCCTTAGCAAATACAGCAATGGATAATAGATTTGCACTAGATTACTTACTGGTTGAACAAGGGGGAGTATGTACTATAATCAGTAAACCCTGCTGCACTCATGTAAATGCCTCCAGTCAAATAGAAGAAGATATACAGAAAATATATGAACAAACTGCCTGGTTGCATAAATATAACCAAGACACCAATCCCTAGGTCATTACTAGGTAGCTTTATTTTAATCATTGATATGCCCACCTTCAGTTGGATGCAACATTTGAGTTGTTTTGCTGGGGGTAGTGACAGGCAATGAATAGTGACAGGCCGTGTCTTAACTGGTCAACCATTGAAAGTGCCCTTGCGGCCAGGCATGGTGGCTCTTGCCTGTAATCCCAACATTTTTGGAGGCCAACGCAGGCAGATCACCTGAGATCAGGAGTTCGAGACCAGCCTGGCCAACATGGTGAAACCCTGTCTCTACTAAAAATACAAAAAATCAGCCAGGTGTGGTGGCAGGCACCTGTAATCCCAGCTACTCGGGAGTCTGAGGCAGAGAACTGCTTGAACCCGGGAGGTGAAGGCTGCAGTGAGCTGAGATCACACCATTGCACTCCAGCCTGGGCGACACAGCAAGAGTCCATCTCAAAAAGATGTTCCCTCCTGAGTCTCACTGTTTTTTTGCCCTTCTTTTTTTTTTTTGGAGACGGAATCTCTCTCTGTGGCCCAGGCTGGAGTGCAATGGCCAGATCTCAGCTCACTGCAAGCTCCACCTCCCGGGTTTACGCCATTCTCTTGCCTCAGCCTCCCAAGTAGCTGGGACTACAGGCGCCCGCCATCTCGCCCGGCTAGTTTTTTGTATTTTTTAGTAGAGACGGGGTTTCACCGTGTTAGCCAGGATGGTCTCGATCTCCTGACCTCGTGATTCGCCCGTCTCAGCCTCCCAAAGTGCTGAGATTACAGGCTTGAGCCACCGCGCCCAGCTTTTTTGCCCTTCTTAAGACCTTTGATAGCTGTCTGGTTATTACCAATCTTAGCCCCTTACTTGTTTAACTCCTAGTGAAGTTTGTGTCTTCTAGATTACAATTCTACATGATGCTGGCATAAGGCTTCCAGCCCATCCCATTTTCTGACCCAGGAAATAAAGACACCCTGCCTTTGGGCCCATAGATGGGGCATCCAGAGAATTTTTACTTCTCCAATCTTATGCCCATAAAATCAGCAAGAAGAAGTTACAGAAGAATGACCTTCGTACCTCATCTCTCCTTAAGATTAAGAGATCTCTTATAAATCGAGGATTATGTTAGGGAAACAGGAGCATAGGAGAGCCAGGGTGATGCCATTTTAAAAAATCAACTCCATCTAGGGGCTGGGCCCGGTGGCTCGTGCCTATAATCCCAGCACTTTGGGAGGCCGAGGCAGGCAGATCATGAGGTCAGGAGATCGAGACCATCCTGGCTAACACAGTGAAACCCCGTCTCCACTAAAAATACAAAAAATTCTCTGGGCGTGGTGGCGGGCACCTGTAGTCCCAGCTACTTGGGAGGCTGAGGCAGGAGAATGGTGTGAACCCGGGAGGCGGAGCTTGCAGTGAGCCAAGATCACACCACTACACTCCAGCCGGGGCGACAGAGCAAGACTCCGTCTCAAAAAACAAACAAACAAACAAACAAATCAACTCCATCTAAAACCAGCAAGGCACATTCCTTGCCAGTCACCACCCGTGGCCATAAGATGTTTAGGCTAAGGAATCAGTTTAGTAATGCCTGTGAGGACAAACTCCTATGACAGCAGAATGTCCAGATGTCCTGCTATTGAGTAACAATATATGCTTTTAAGATAGTTATAATCATGCTTTGAGGTACTTACACACTCAAATGCCAAGGATAACTTTCTTTCAATCAACAAACTTCTAAATTGTCATGCTGTCAGCCCACCAGCACGTAGACACAACTTAGCTTTAACATAGGTAAGACCCCTACATAAGAAGAGTTTAAAACAGGGATGGCACGTTCCTCCTCTTGCTTTCTGAGGACGCCTTACTCTGTAACTGAGTAGCTTTCAATAAACTACCTCTTACTGTGCACTCTGTGACTCGCCTTGAAATCCTTCCTGCGTGAGATCCAAGAACCCTCTCTTGGGGTCTAGATTGGACCCCTTTTTCCAGCAACAATGAGACTCTCTGAATTTTGGAATATTTTAAATTCCTGAAGAGGTGTGTGAAAATGGTGTGCCTGTAATGGCAAAGGAGTTAAGTAGGGTGATGTAGAGTAGAGGAGGAGGAAAAGTTGGAAATAAAACTCTAAGCTAGAAGGCAGTCTGGATAACAGAAATAACTCCAAATAGCTTATAAGAGGATTAGTTTTAATCAGTTTGATTAAAGAAGTATACTGCCAATGGCAGGGGTGGGGGATTGTGTAACTTCCATAAATAACACTGAATGTCACTGTTTCAAATGTATTTATAATCCCTGGGTTAGAGTCAAGTCAGGAATGGAAAGACATTTTTAACTGGCTGGCTCTACCAGCAGGTAGAATGAGTGCTTCATGAGGTGAGGCAAGCAAGAGATGATAGTGTTGAGTTTATGATGTTTTGAGTTTATTACTAGGTAGCTTTATTTTAATCATTGATAGGCCTGCCTTCAGTCAAAGGCAACAACTCAAATGCAACATTTGAGTTGTTTGCTAGGGGTAGTGACAGCCAATGAATAGCCGTGTCTTAACTCTTTATATATATGAGGTTTACAAAAAGCACTTATTTGGATGTTTCCCCACATTCTCTCACCTTATCCCCTAACCAGAGGCATCACTTTAGAGCTGGCAGCCTCATGAAGCCCATTAACAAGGGTTGAGACCAAATAATACTTTTCAAACTTTGAAGTTAACCTCTGCACCCTGGATTTAAACCTTCTTTTAAGTTTTTCATTTCAAAACATTTCAGGACAGTTTTGAATGACATGGCTAGAGTCTTCTGTAAAAATGGGTGCAGGCATCCAGGGGACAGCTGGTCTGATGTCACACTGGCCAATGACAAGGTCTTGCTGAGTTCTGTCAGCAGAAAGTCATATCAGCTGCAGATTTTCCTCAGGTAATTCAAGTCTCCAAGCCTGATTCTATACCAACTGGATGCAATCACCTGTCCACGGGAAGTGGGGATGAATAGGAGATGGCGATGCTTTGGGTTCCTCTGGAATGTGCCTCACGAATAGTAAGGGTAATCACTGGGTGGGGTGGCCAATCATTTGATAAACCAAACACTAATTAACCCTCCCAAAAGGAAAGGCGCTAATTTGTTACACTAAGGTATTTGGAAGTAAAACATCTCAGCTAAGGAAAAGTTTGGAAAAAGGGAAAAGTATGTGAATGCTGTTTAGCATGGAACAATATGAAACCAACCATCCCTGGAAAAAATAATGCACAAGTAACATCTCAGTACTGCTCAGAATGCTGCAGTGATCGCATCACTCCTCTGCTCAAAACCCCTCGATGGTTTGAAATTATATGCCAGGGAAATTATATGCAAACTCTCCAGCCTAGCATTGAAGGCCCCACGCCTCCTTTTCACCTCCACCCCACAGGCCCCCCTCAGTCTGCTTTGGCCAGCCCGGACCCCTTGCTCTTGCAGGAATCTGAGTCACCTGAACCTTAGCAGTTGCTTCGGTCAAAAGGGAAGTAAACGTCAACTACTGGCGCCTGCAGTGTCCTTTCCCATGCCTGTCTGCCCATGCTATCCACCCCAGCCGCATTTTGTCCCGCTCTGGAAGCTCCCAGCTGTCGGTTCTCATCACAGCATCTTTCCCTCTCTAGTGGTTTTTGAAGTTAAGTATGCACCCTCCTCCAAGGCCGACACATTTTTCGAATCAGGTCCGCGGCGTCACTGGTGTAAAGTCCTAAAACCAAAACAGAACTAAACTGTTTCCCCAAAGATTCCACCTCTTAGAACCAGCCCTCACCCCAACAGAGCAGAGGGTTATGCTAGCCCGGAGGACGCGGACGCCCGAGACCCTGCCTCCCTTTGGCCGTACAAACTGCCCAATGACCCTCTGCGGCGGGGATGTTTCCTAAGCGGCCGGCCAATAGCGGAGAGAGGGGCGGGCCTCGGTGGGGGCCTGGCCCAGTGAGAGTCGCGTGGGGGACGACCTCTGTCTAGCTGCGACCCAATGGGAGCCCCCGCTGGGAGGCACAACCGGCGGCCCTCCGGGGATTTATAAGGCCCGCCAGCAACCGCGCGTTGGGATTCGTAGTGTTGTTGAAGACCGGAGGAGTGTCTGCAGTCAGCGACTCTCCACCAACTTCAACTACTGGATCAACCATGGTGGTGAGGGATGCTGTGCGGGGGCGGGTGCTGCACGATGGCGAGGATGCCAGGGGCGCTCGGGGGGTCGGTGGGAAGGTCCCGCAGCGCAGAAAGGAAGGGCGCCCCGGCAGTCCAGGGTGTGGGGTGGGCTGCGCGGGGATGCCAGGGGTGTTTGGATGTTCAGGGCGAAAATGGGCTCTGCAGAAAGCACTGGGACGCCCGAGGAGTCCCGGCACAACTTTTCTACCCTACTTCCCCTGCGGGAGGCGGTGCGAGCTAGAAACGTTCTGAGCGCTCCACAAGCGCTGCAGGACTAGGGAGGCTGGCGAGCAGTAAAGCGCGGGCGAGAACGTGGTGGGGTCGCCTGTGCGCTGCGCGCAAGGTCGGGCAGCAGAGTCTGCTCTGCGGCGGAGCGCGCTCAGGAGCCTGGAGGGGATCTAGGACCTGCCCCATATTTCTCCCGCTGCGGTCCTGGACAAAGAAGTGCCCGCCTGTAGCTGCGGTCCCCGCCTCCCTCTGAGATCATACTCCCGCACAGGAGGCAGGGCCCAGGATGATTGGGAAGCTCTAACAGGTTTCTCCAGTTCAGAACCTGTTTCCCTGAATGTCTTTGTCCTGGACGCCCGACTCTTGCCAGAGGTAGAGGTCCTCGACCTTTGGTCCCATACTTGACTAGGGATTCCTGTAAGCTCTTGGGGCCTAGAAAACAGTGTTCTTGAGTTTTCTCCTGTTTGCTACCCAAGGACTTAAGGTCCCTCTGTTAAAACTGAGAACTTAACTGGCCGGGCGCGGTGGCTCACGCCTGTAATTCCAGCACTTTGGAAGGCCGAGGCGGGCGGATCAATCCTGACCAACATGGAGAAACCCGTCTCTACTAAAAATACAAAATTAGCCGGCCGTAGTGGCGCATGCCTGTAATCCCAGCTACTCAAGAGGCTGAGGCAGAATAATCTCTTGAACCCAGGAGGCTGAGGTTACGGTGAGCGGAAATCGCGCCATTGCACTCTAGCCTGGGCAACAAGAGTGAAACTCCGTCTCAAAAAAATCAAAACAAAACGCCGGGCGCGGTGGCTCACGCCGATAGTCCCAGCACTTTGGGAGGCCGAGGCGGGCGGATCACAAGGTCAGGAGATCGAGACCATCCTGGCTAACACGGTGAAACCCCATCTCTACTAAAAAATACAAAAAATTAGCCGGGCGTGGTGACGGGCGCCTGTAGTCCCAGCTACTCAGGAGGCTGAGGCAGGAGAATCGCTTGAACCCGGGAGGCGGAGCTTGCAAGTGAGCTGAGATCTCGCCACTGCACTCCAGGCTGGGAGACAGCGAGAATCCGTCACAAACAAACAACAACAACAAAAAAAACCCTAAGAACTTGAGGTGGGTACACAGAGGTCCCTGTGCACCCCAGAAACCTCTTGATCACTGCCTCTGCTCTGAGCCCCCTTAAAGGCTCTGAGGCTGTCTTGGAGGGTAGTTCCTAAGACTGTTAAACTGTTGCCTACTGTCATCCTAGAAGATCGCTTCAATATCTGGGGGGTGCGCGGCCCTTTTAAATTGATCCCCCTAGACTGTGGGTTGGGGTGAAGGACCAGAAGATGGGAGGGAGGGTTTATCCATCATAGGAGTTACCTGAGTGAAGAGTCGAAAGGTGGGGTGTTTCTTTTGGTCTCCGCTGTGATGCTTAATTAAGGAGTACTTGCATGAATTCGCTTGCTTGTACTGCAGTTGGCAGGGACAGGTGTCTAGGATAGGTGCCTGTCCCCCAAAAAGGGGAGTTTGTGGGTGAGCTTTCAAAAGGCTAGCTCTAACTGCAAGGCTGCTTCCTCAGTTGATCCACAGGTCTGAACTTAGTCTTCTGCCCTTTTGGGATGCTGAGGAGATAGTCACTGCCCATGGGAGACCTCCTTTTCTAGGCCCCGGTGCTTGAGTCTAGAAGCTCTTGGTGGGCCTGTCTTGGAATACAGGACTCTGAGCTTTCCCAAGCCACCCCAAACAGCAAGGAGGACACTGTGCAGTGAGATTTGGCTGTTTGGTTTTGGCTTTCTCTAGTTCCTGCCCCAGAAACCTAGGCATAACCACCTCAAGCTCTGAGTGAATGAAGGAAAATGAGGGCCTGGAGGTGGTTTGGCTTAAAGTATGGGAAGGCCTGGAAAGAGAACTGGGTCTTCTGGATTTTGGTTCTTTGGTTTGATTTTTTTTTTTTTTTTTTTTTTTTTTTGAGATGGAGTCTTTCTCTGTCGCCTAGGCTGTAGTGCAGTGTTGTGATCTCAGCTCCCTGCAACCTCTGCCTCCTGGGTTCACGTGATTCTCCTGTCTCAGCCTCCCAAGTAGCTGGGACTACAGGCGCCCACCACCACGTCCGGCTAATTTTGTATTTTTAGTAGAGACGGGGTTTCACCATGTTGGGCAGGATGATCTCGAACTCCTGACCTCAGGTGATCTGCCTGCTTCGGCCTCCCAGAGTGCTGGGATTATATTATAAGTAGGTGTGAGCCACTGCACCCGGCCAGTCGTCTGAACTTTGGACTAGGTAACACTAAGTTTCAGCCTTTAGGGAGGAAAGACGAGGGATGTTCCCAGAGAAGGCTTTTCAGGTCCCCACCTTTCGCTCTGCACCACTCAGGGCTCACCCTCGCGGTGTGAGTGCATCTCCATCCATGTGGGCCAGGCCGGAGTGCAGATGGGCAATGCCTGCTGGGAGCTATACTGCCTGGAGCACGACACCCAGCGCAGTGGCACCATGCCCAGCCACAAGGCCCTGGGGAGCAGCGATGACTCCTTCAACACCTTCTTCAGGGAGACCCAGCCTGGCAAGCATGCGTCCTGGGCTGTCTGTGGACCTGGAACCTGCTGTCATAGGTGAGTGGATGGAGGAGTAGGGGCCCCTTCCCCTAGGCCATAGTTTTTGCTAGTGCCAATGTCTGTTTAAGGGGAAAACACTTGAGATGCAAGCAGTCCCCTGCCATGAACGGCACTGAAGTCTGAAGTCTATTGCTTTTGTCTAGACTGTGTCCTCAGAGGGGGTCCTGGAGGCTTCCTGTATTGAGAGGAAGATCATTAGCACAGCTCTGCCAGGAAACTGCCAGATAGGAGTCAGGGATCAGGCCTAGAATGCAGACTGCAGAAAGGAGCAGATGTAAAAGCAGAAATTTAAAACTTGCTTTTCAGTGTCCTCAGACTCTTGAGGGCAGCCTGTTACGTAAGAAGCAGGGAGCCGAGAACATTCATAATGGCCCCCTGCTCGGCCTTAACTGAAATAGGCCCCCACGTAGGATGTGGGCCTGTGTGAACTTGGCTGTTGCTGGCTTCCGGGGGCTTTCCTGCTTCCTCCCTTCTGCATCTGGATCTCCTCAGTTTCCTAATCATGACAATTCTACCCCTCCTGCGTTTTTTTAAAGCTGTTATTTTAGATGTTAAATGGTGGACTGGGTTTCTTCATTAGTCTGTATTCTTTTTTTTTTTTCTCTCTTTCTGTGGTGAAAATTTACATTGGGCTGTATTCTTACCCCATTCAAAAGTGAAGTGAGATTCTCCTTAACACCACTCTGATTCCTCACCCAGCACAATGAAGTGGCTGTGATCAGAGGGAAGGGACCACTGAAGGTGCCACCTGCTCTCCCCGTCTCAGGCCCAGGCAGGACCCAGCCTTAGAAGTGGGTCTCTGGTTGGGAGGCTGAGGCAGGAGAATTGCTTGAACCCGGGAGAAGGAGGTTGTGGTGAGCCAAGATCGTGCAATTGCATCCAGCCTGGGCAACAAGAGCGAGACTCTGTCTCAAAAAAAAAAAAAAAAAAGAAAAGAAAAAGAAGTGGGCCTCTGGGACGCCGTGTATTATCACTCTGTTGGGCAGTTGTACCTGGGGAGGCTTAGCAGCAAAGGTTCTGGTGTCTGGCGTTCCCTTGGGGATGAACCAGCTTGTTTTACCTTTGTTCTTTCTTCCCCTCAGGATGGGGTAAGAACTGACATTTATAGGCAGCTCTTCCACCCTGGGCAGCTGGTATCTGGCGTGGAAGATGCTGCCAACAACTATGCCTGTGGCCACTATACTGCGAGGAAGGAGACCATCGATTTGGTGCTGGAGCGAATCGGAAAACTGGCGAGCAGGCCTCCAGCACCTACAGGAGGTCATTGCATCCTTAACCCTCTTCCTGGCTGGGAGGCAACCACAGCGTGGGCTGGCACCTGACATCATTCCTCTGGCCTCTCAGTCCATTCACTCTCTCCTAAGAGGATACATGTTTTCTGTCCTGGGTGCAGTTCTAGAGTTGGAAGCCTGAATAACCTACTCTGCCTTGAGTTTGTGGACTCAAGCTTCTGCCCTGGTGGTTCCTCACTTTGCCAGGTCTGTCTGATCCAAACCTTCTTTGACCTTTGATCTATCTCTACAGCAGCTCAGCTTGCCGTTCTTAGACTCCTACGCAGATCTGTCCAGGTGGGAGGGGCTCCTGTTTAGCGCTCAACCATTTCTCCAGTTCACCCTTCCCCTATCTGAGGCACTGAGAACTACGAGTGAGGCTACCTGTGAGCCAGGACTTTGGCGCTGTTGCTGTAGAGAGATTGCCTAGACTACTCTCTGCTGCTCAGTAGAGACTGAGGACTTGGAAGTGACCTGATTCTGTGCTCCCTTCCTCAAGAATGAAAATAAAATACCTCCTAGGGGCCGGGCGTGGTGGCACACGCCTGTAATCCCAGCACTTTGGGAGGCTGAGTCGGGCAGATCACGAGTTCAGGAGATCAAGACCATCCTAGCTAACACGGTGAAACCCCGTCTTTACTAAAAATACAAAAAATTAGCTGGATGCGGTGGCAGGTGCCTGTGGTCCCAGCTAGTCGGGAGGCTGAGGCAGGAGAATGGCGTGAACCCAGGAGGCGGAGCTTGCAGTGAGCCGAGATGGCGCCACTGCACTCCAGCCTGGGCGACAGAGCGAGACTCCGTCTCAAAAACAAAAACAAAAACAAAACAAAACCTCCTAGCGTTAGACTTCTTTTATACTGTCACTACCCATGTGTCTGGTATAGACTGATGATTTTCTTACCCAAGGAACAGCTATATGAGAATCACGTGGGGTACTTGTTAAAGCTGCAGGTTCCTGGGTTCCAGTCTGAGGTGAGGCCTGGTAATCTGTATGTTCAACAGGATGCCACCACCACTCCCACTCTGCTGTAACTAGGGGGCACGGCAACAAAACAGAGAGGGCCTGGCTCTCTGACTGCAAATCCTGTGTCCTGCCTCATCCCGACCATTGTATATACACAACACTGCCTTTCCAAGTCATCTTTTCCCTAGGAACTCCAAACCTCTTGTAGTTCATCTCTTTTTTTTTTTTTTTTCCTTTTTTGAGAGAGTTGCTCTTTGCCTAGGCTGGAGTGCCACTAGTGGTGCAGTCACAACTCACTGCAACCTCCACCTTCTGGGCTCAAGTGGTCCTCCCACCTCAGCCTCCTGAGTAGCTAGGACTACAGGTGCACACCACAACACCCAGATAATTTTTGTATTTTTTTGTAGAGATGGGGTGTTGCCATCCCAGCACTTTTGTAGGCCAAAGTAGTGATGTTATCGCCTACTCCAGACAGACCAGTGCACCAGGCTTCAGGGCTTCCTGATCTTCCATAGTTCTGGGGATGGCACTGGCTCAGGCTTTACCTTCCTGGTGATGGGGCAGCTTTCTGTTGACTATGGCAAGAAGTTCAAGTTGGAATTTTCTTTTTTTTTTTTTTGAGACGGAGTTTCACTCTTGTTGCCCAGGCTGGAGTGCAATGGCGTGATCTCGGCTCACCGCAACCTCTGCCTCCCAGGTTCAAGCGATTCTCCTGCCTCACCCTCCCTAGTAGTTGGGATTACAGGCATGTGCCACCACGCCTGGCTAATTTTGTATTTTTAGTAGAGACGGGGTTTCTCCGTGTTGGTCAGGCTGGTCTTGAACTCCCGACCTCGGGTGATCCGCCCACCTCAGCCTCCCAAAGTGCTGGGATTACAGGCATGAGCCACCACGCCCAGCCTCAAGTTGGAATTTTCTATCTACCCAGTCCCCCAAGTGTCCATGACAGCTGTAGAACCCTATAACTCCATCTTGACCACCCACACCACACTGGAACACTCAGACTGCCTTCATGGTAGACCACGAGGCCATCTATGATCTCTGCTGCCACAACGTGTGCCCTACCTATGCCAACCTCAACTGGCTCATCAGCCAGATTGCGTCCTCCATCACTACTTTCTTGCGTTTTGACGGTGCCCTCAATGTGGACCTCATAGTGTTCCAGACCAATCTGATGCCCTATCCTCGCATCCACTTTCCCCTGGTGACCTACTCACCCATTATCTCAGCTGAGAAGGCCTACCATGAGCAGCTCTCAATGGCAGAGATCACCAGTGCCTACTTTGAGCCCTCCAATCAGATGGTCAAGTGTGAACCTCACCACGGCAAGTACATGGCCTGCTGCATGCTCTGCCGTGAAGAAGTGGTGCCCAGGAATGAGAATGCCACCATTAAAACCAAGCGAATATTCGTTTTGTGGACTGGTATCCCACAGGTTTCAAGGCAAGTGGGGGTAAAGGGTAGTTAGCACATAGCCTGTATACCTGCTGAGAAGGGAGCTTCCTACAGAGCAGGTGTGAGGAACAAATGCACAGGATCTCACTCTGTCACCCAGGTTGGAGTACACTGGCATGATCTTGGCTCACTGCAGCCTTGACCTCAATGCTCAAGCAGTCCTCCTGCCTCAGCCTCCTCAGTAGCTGGGACCACAGGTTTGTGCCACCACACCCTGCTAACTTTGTATTTTTTTGTAGAGGTGGGGCTTCACCATATTGCCCAGGCTGGTCTCAGGCTCCTGCGCATGGGTGATCCACCTACGATGGCCTCCCAAAGTGTTACGGGTATGAGCCACTGTGCCCTGCCAGAGGATGCCTTTAACTAGATAGATCTTGGCTGGTCTAGAAACCAGGCCTTGGACTGTAAGCCAGGGTGGGTTCTACTTGAAAGATTGCCTAGGCCGGGCACGGTGGCTCACACTGTAATCTCAGCACTTTAGGAGGCCGAGGTGGGCGGATCACAAGGTCAGGAGATCGAGACCACGGTGAAACCCCGTCTCTACTAAAAATACAAAAAATTAGCTGGGCGCAGTGGTGGGCGCCTGTAGTCCCAGCTACTCGGGAGGCTGAGGCAGTAGAATGGCGTGAACCCAGGAGGCAGGGCTTGCAGTGAGCCGAGATCGCGCCACTGCACTCCAGCCTGGGGGACAGAGCGAGACTCCGTCTCAAAAAAAAAAAAAAAAAAAAGATTGCCTTGATGAAAGGAAAAGTATCCATTTCATTTTACTTAGCCTGGTAAAAAGGCGTTCCCTAGGGCTGCCAGTCACACTGGGGAGAATGGCCTCCTCGTCACTTGTGCTAGGGACATAACCACATGCTGTGGCTCCTGCTCAGAAGGGAAGGCTTTTAGAAGCCAGAGAGACCCATTATCAGATGATGGGGAAAGTGCGGATCAGGTCAGAGGCTTCTTGTGTTCTGTGTCTGTAAATGCGTTCTCTTCCTTTTGCAGTAATGAGGAAGAAGCACTCATTTATGCCCCACCCTGTTATCGGTTGACCTTCCCAGGGTGCTGGGCATATGACCTAGTTTGGTTTATGGGTTTTGTTCTGGGGTAAGGCTCCAGAAAGATTAAAGACGGTACCTGTGGCATTAGAAAACATATATAATTTTCCTGCCCCATGACACTGCTGTGGACATGACCACAACAGGAGGAGAGGCAGGGATAATAGCTGCTTGCTAGTGTGGAAGAGTTGTCCTGTAGCTCAGAAATGGAAATGCAGGGTAGGATATCTTTGGGAAGCAGACTGTTTCTGCTTCCATATTAGGAAGATCTTTAGCTGCTTACAGGAAGAACTGACTGCCGTTAGGACATGCTCAGCTTGTTGTCCCCAGAGACACTAATGGGACGTTGACTTTTTTTTTTTTTTTTTTTTTTTTGAGGATGAGAAACACTAAAATGTATTATATATTCTGGGCTGGGTGCAGTGATTCAGACCTGTAATCCCAGCATTTTGGGAGGCAGAGGTGGGAGGATGGCTTGAGCCCAGGAGTTTGAACCAGCCTGGGCAATGTGAGACTCCATCTGTACAAAATATAAAAAAAAATTAGCCAGTCGTGCTAGTGTGTGCTTATAGTTCTAGCTACTCAGAAGGCTGAGGTGGGAGGATCACTGGGGTCCAGGAGGTCGAGGCTGCAGTGAGCTATGATTGCACCCCCAACTCCAGCCTCAGCAACAGAGCGAGACCCTGTTTCTTAAAAAATAAAACAACATATTCTGGGTAGACAAATGGTTAAAGTAGGTCTAATTGGAGAGCTTCCCTAACTTTTAACACTTTTTAGGCTACCGGAAAGTAGGGATACTAGTTCATTTAACACCCATATAGCCACTACCTGGATTTAACATCTAGGTCTGTTTCTTTTATTTTTGCTTTACTGACCCATTTAAACTCACTACTTTTGCGGGGGGATGGCGGTGGGGGAAGATGGAGCCTTGCTCTGTTGCCAAGGGTGGAGTACAGTGGTGCCATCTCAGCTCACTGCAACCTCACGGAACCTCCAGGGTTCAGACGATTCTCTTGTCTCAGCCTCCCGAATCGCTGGCATTACAGGCATGCGCCACCACGCCCGACTAATTTTTTGTATTTTCAGTAGAAACGGGGTTTCGCCATGTTGGCCAGGCTGGTCTTGAACTCCTGACCTCAAAGTGATCAGCCAACCTCAGCCTCCCAAAGTGCTGGGATTGCAGGTGTGAGCCACTGTGCCCGGCCCACAAATTTTTTTTATAGTCAATTTTTCAGTCATGATCTAATCAAGGAGCAGGCATTATGCTTATTTGTCTCCTAGCATAAGAGTCCACCCTTTTTCCTTTTTTTTTTTTTGAGACAAAGTCTCACTCATCCCCGAGGCTGGAGTGCAATGGCGCGATCTTGGCTCACTGCAACCTCTGCCTCCTGGGTTCAAGCGATTCTCCTGCTTCAGCCTCCCGTGTAGCTGGGATTACAGGTGCCTGCCACGAGGCCAGCTAATTTTTTTTGTATTTTTAGTAGAGTTGGGGTTTCATCGTGTTGGCCAGGCTGGTCTCGAACTCCTGACCTCAGGTGATCCACCTGCCTTGGCCTCCCAAAGTGCTGGGATTACAGGCATGAGCCACTGCACCTGGCCCCCTTTTTCTTGACTGTGACTGTGAAGGCACTAGTCTTGTCTTGCAGAAGCTCCCTCATTCTAGACTTGTTTGTTTCCTTGTGGTGGTGATCATCTTCCTCTATCTTTATTTCT